CTTAACCCTAATCCTTAACCCTGAGACCTAAGCCCTAAGCCCAAAACCGTAAGCCCTGAACCCTAAACCCTAAGCCCTAAACCCTAAACCCTTAACCCTAAACCCTAAACCCCGAACCGTTAAGGTGCCTGGTACGGAGAGCAGGACAAGGCCGGTGGAGCCAGAAATCGCGGTCAGGACTTTCGAGGTTTGGGAGTCTAAATAATTACCTATACTACTTTGGGGCTGCTTCCTTATTATTTTTATAGTATAATATACCCAAAACCCTATTCTAATTATTAAGGCCCCTACATTGCTAGGGTTCGCGGCTGTAGACTCTTAGAGCTTAAGGGCTGGATGTACAGCTTTACATTCGAAAGTCTAGGGTTCTGGGGCTGCCTTAGAAGTCCGCTTTCTGGGTCGACGGCAGGGTGCCGATGAATGATGTAGCCAGAGACTCCAATACCCCTTAATTAAGGAATATACCTTAAATCATATTGGGGATCATATTATAACTTAAGAGTTATATTCCTTAATCAAGGGGTATTGGAGTCTCTGGGTAGCAGGAATTGTCACACCAGAGCAGCAAGAACAATACTGATAGCTATGAGCCGGGGTGATCACATAAGATGTAGACGACGCGGACGTGGGCGAGTACGAGGACTAGGGCCACGACGGCGACGGCAGCACCAACGACAACAGCCATCATCACCATCATCATCGTCATCATCAGCACCAGCACCATCATCATCTGACCACCGTCATCATGATCATCGTCATCATCGTCATCATCATCGTCATTACCATCACCACCATCAGAATCATCATCATCATCATCATCATCATCACCATCATCATTACCATCACCGTGTTGATATCAAGTATGGCAATACGCAGGCAACACCACTGTATCGAAGACTAAGCCTGTCTCTATCCATGTCTCCCTGTTTGTTTACATCTGTGTATGAACAAGCAGGCTACACGTGTGCCTGTGTGATTTGCAGGTGAATGTAGTTGTAGATGCACAGAGGTAGACAGGTCGACGGGTAAGCAGGCAGTTGTCTCTTCATTCGTGTTTACATTCGTAGCGTGTTCACTACCTGAAGAGCAACAGGTGTAAGACCTCCACAGCCACTTGCCCCTGGGCGCCAAAGTCACAAAACTGCTCAGCTTCAAAACTCTAGACACTAGTCCCCACCAAAAGCCTAAGACCCAAGACTTTCAAAGCCTTGAGCCCCAAAACTTCACAAGTTTTAGGGCTTAGGGCTTAGAGCCTTAATAATTAGAATCGGGGTTTTGGTGTATATTATACTATAGTTATAATGAGGAACCCCCCCAAAATAGTATAGTCCTACCTCTCCAGGTGGCCGCCTGTTCGCGAGCCCAGCCAAGCCTAGTGGGCCCCCACGGCCCGCGTCCCTGCGCCGGCCAGCGAGGCCTTGCATGCCAGCGCCTGCTGGGCACAAGATAGGGGCCGAAATGGGAGTTTCCGAAAATCAGGGGTACCTTATTTTGGGGTCCTTATATGAAGGATCCTATTATTTAGGGCATTATATTAGGGTCCCCTATTTCCAGAATCCCCTATTTCCAGAAACCCACATTTTGTCTCTTAAGGTTCCATATATTCGCTATATGATATGAGAGTTCGGAGATCCAGTCAGACATTTGCTAGGTGCAATGGCAGTGCCGTTGGATATTTTTGAAGCCTGCAGCAAGCTTTGCTTGCACCTTCACCGCTGCAGCCCTCATCGCCAAGCGAGACCTCCAAACCTACCCTGACCCCTAAATCCTAAACCCTACCCTGAAAGTTAAACCCTCTAAGACCCCTAAATCCTAAACCCTAAACCCCTGAAAGTTAAACCCTCTAAGAAACCTAAATCCTAAACCCTAAACCCCTGAAAGTTAAACCCTCTAAGCTCCAATCACTAGTAGTATCATCCTTCTGCCCACGAGGTCGGCGTGGTCGGGTAGTGGCGGCGAGATCGACGATGTGCTGCGGTCCGTATCGGTGCGGGCCCAGGCACGAATGCGGGGGCTCCTCGCTCCTCTGGATGGAGGGTTTAGGGTTTAGGGTTTAGGGTTTAGGGTTTAGGGTTTAGGGTTTAGGGTTTAGGGTTTAGGGTTTAGTGATAATGGTAGGTCTTGGAGTGGAGTCATGGTATTGTCGTCGTCCTCGGGGTGAGGGACCTTGTGTACGATACCGGCATTCATTGCAGCTTAGTTTAGCCATGCGGGTCGTCTAGAGAGGCACGAATCCTAGACCAGGTTTCCCGTCCTGATCGAAAACCCTGAGTCCGAAAAAGTCTGAAAGCCCGAAACCCTGGCCCAAAAAGCCCTAAAGAGTCAAACCCTAAACCCCAAAAACCTTAAAGCCTTAAGCCCTGAATCCGAAACTCTCGAGATAGCTGCAAGTTTGGCCTTGACACCCTCGGCCCAAAGCCTCCTCATGCCTCCCAGGGGAAGGCCGTGGCGGAGGCGAAGGCTTGGCAATGCGGAATTCAATTTCAGAGAGTTTCCGGTGCCTCTGAGATAGGGTCTGTGGAGTTCGGAGTTAACTTGGGAGTGCTTTATACGGCTTCTTGGGTTCCAAGGTCCACGGATATCGATGTAGGCTGTGGGGTTTAAAGGAACATAGGAAACTTAAACCCTAAACCCTAAACCCTAAAACCCTAAAATCCAAAAAAACCAAAACCCTAAACTAAACCCTAAAACCCAAAACCCTAAATTTTTCCCTAAAAACCTCAAGCCCTAAACCGGGGGGTGTTTTTCAAGTGGGGCCCCAAGAGCTTGAGGTGTGCATGGCCGAGGCGCAACATTTGAGCCTCCCTGTTCCTCATCGATGGGTGGGGCTGAGTAGGTAATACAGGGTTTAGGGTTTAGGGTTTAGGGTTTAGGGTTTAGGGTTTAGGGTTTAGGGTTTAGGGTTTAGGGAATATAGAGGCTTAAACAACTAGGTGGCAATTTGGGGAAACTTTACAATTTCCCTTATGGTCTCTCTAGAGGTACCTATTCATAAATACTTTTCAGGTCCCCAAAACTACAACCCAGATAATTACTAATACTATTTTGGAGGGTTCCTTATAATAATTTATAATGGGCCCCAAAACCCTATTCTAATTATGAGCGCCCCTACAGTAGGTGGGCTGAATAAGTAGTAGCAGCACGCCTTTATGGCTCCCTTATGCTGTAGTAGGATGGACCCCAAAACCTGTGTGAACATGAGTAAGGCCCCGATGTTCGCACAAGCACCAGTCCGTACGCTCTTCAAGGGTTCTGCGCTTTTGGGTATCCTAAAAGCAAATCCCCAAAACCCCAAAACCTAAACTCTAGAACCCTGTACTAGCCTTTCGGGACCTTCGAAAAAAGGAGTTCAAGCAACCAAAAACCCTAGAACCCTACTTGGTTTAGGGCTCAGGGTTTGGGGTTTAGGGTTCCTAAACCCTAAACCCTAAACCCTAAACCCTAAACCTTAAACCTTAAACGCATAAACCCTAAACCCTAAACCCTAAACCGCTCCTTGGGTCTTCCTGGAAGGTGGCCTCCGACTCTGCAGCAGTGGGGAGGCCCAGTGCAAGGGAGCAGCTGAGCTCATGGGTTGGGGTTTAGGGTTTAGGGTTTAGGGTTTAGGGTTTAGGGTTTTGAGGGTTTAGGGTTTAGGGTTGAGGGTTAGAATAATGAGTAGTATAGGGCCTAAGTACTTACCTATACTATTTTGGCGTTACTTTTTATAATTATGGTATCATATACCCCGAAAGCCCTATTCTAATTATAAAGGCCCCTACATGAATCGTCTCCCCCCCCAGCTAGTCCAGGTATAAATATGCAGAAGCATACCCGCAACCCTATTGTGACAGAAAAAGAGCGTTTGAAGGCTCGCGAGGTTCACAGAGCCTTTATGGCTTGGAGTGTTACCAGGGGTCAGAACCAAAAGCCTAAACCCTAAACCCTAAACCCTAAACCCTAAACCCTAAACCCCTAAACCCTAAACCCTAAACCCTAAGCCTTGGGGCTTGTAGGGCCAATGGTCTACGCCTTGAGCCGCAAGCCCCAAACCTAAGCCCAACACTAACACTCCAACACCCTTGGTTAAACAACCCTAAACCCTAGACCCCCTAAACCCCAAACCCTAAACCCTAAACCCTAAACCCCAAATAGCCTCATTCTCCAGCTCCAACACGCTGTAAAACCCAAGCCCTAGGCTTGTAAAGCCACTGAAACCCTACAGATCCATGATAAACAGCCGAAGAAGCCCCTCCCGAAGTCACCCCAAAGCCCCACAAACATCTCCATAAACGCCGTTGAAAAAGCCGCACTTAGAGCTCCGAGACTAGAATCTACAGGTAAATCCTAAACTCAAAACGCAAAACCTCAAACCAAACCCCAAAGCCCTAAACCCGAAACCCTCGACCAAAAGAGCCCAAAGCCCTCAAAAAGCTAAGCAGAGAGCCGCATTTCGAGGATTTTAGTTTGGAGACCGCAGATACTAGGAAGTATTCCGCAACATATATCACTATATTCTGACAAACGGTGTTTTATAATCGAGGCTTCTTTTAAAAAGCCCTCTTCTAATCTATCCCTAAACCCTAAACCCTAAACCCGAAACCCTAAACCCTAAACCCTAAAACCCTAAACACCCTCGTTTTTTGAGAGATCCGAGGCCCTTAGCCCAGAGGCCGCCGTGGAGGCGCTGCTTCGGACGGCCGGGCCCGGCGCAGGCGACGAAAGCCCCAAAAACTTCGATCCCTAAATCGGTTTAGGGTTGTAGGGTTTCTGGGGTTTAGGGTAATTTTTTTTAAACCCTCAATCCCTAAATCGGTTTAGGGTTGTAGGGTTTCTGGGGTTTTGGGTCTCAATCCATAAATCGGTTTAGGATTGTAGGGTTTCTGGGGTTTTGGGTTTGGGATTTTGAGGGTTCAGGGTTTAGGGTTGTAGGGTTTCTGGGATTTTGGGTTTGGGGTTTTGGGGTTTAGGGTTTAGGGCTGTAGGGCTGAAGGGTTTAGACTTTAGGGCTTGAGGTCCCTATAATCCTTCCTAAAACTCCAAGCCGCGGAGGTTCCCCACCTCCGGAGGTCGTTGGCGCTGCCCTGAAGGCCGATGGGTGAAATGTGGCTGTTGTTTTGAGTACACGAATCGGTTCAGGGAAACTGCAAGCAGACGTGCAGTTACTCAAGTATCCGAAAATACGTCAAGGTGAGTTAAAACTTAGAGAATGTTTAGTTGAGGTAGCCCACATTGAGTCAAATTTTTAAATGCGGAGAAATGCAGAACCCTCTCTCTCTCTCTCTCTCTCTCTCTCTCTCTTCACATATATGTGTACATACATACAGTATACACACACACATATGTGTGTGTGTGTGTTGCCCAACTGTAACTTTTCCCTGGATTTGCTTAGCGTGTTATCCTTCAGGGTGGTTGGGAGGGAGGATACGGGTTCAGCGTCGGTTTGTTCCAGGTGTTCATGTTCAGGGACAGGGGGTTATTTGTGTTAGATGTCGAGGCTTCGGATGGTTTTGCAAAGACAGGGCTTCTGCACTTCAACTCCGACGCCACGAAATCTTACCTATCAGCGAAAATCGCGGAGGCCATGGGCGTCGCCGCGACGGCGGAGAACGTGGAGCGTGCGCTGCGGGCTGCCTTAGGAGGGGCCCGGAGCTCGCCTTTCTCTGAGGGCTTTAGACTTGTTGTGTCGTCCCCTAAACCCTAAACCCTAAACCCCAAGGCCTGAATCCAACACCCTAAACCCTAAACCCAGTGTTTTTGCAAAAACCTTTGAGCGCCTAAATGCCGAACCACTAAGACCGCGAATCCCGGACTTTGAACCCCTAAGTCCCTGCAACGCGTCTGCAGCTCTTCCAAACACCCCACAAAGCCCTTAAAGCCCGGACCCCATAGAGCCTAAACCCTAAGCCCCAACTTTAGGGCTAAGCCCTAAACCCGAACCCCTTACCCCACCTAAATCCTAAACCCCTAAGCCCTAAACCCAAAGCCCTGATCCCTACTTAAATCTTGAACCCTAAACCCGAAACCCAACGCCCTTTAATCGCTACCTAGATGGTTCCTCATCTTGCCGGTCTGAGGCGACGCCCACCTCAGAGCAGGTTTCCGCTGCACAGCAGACAGCCGGGACCCCAGCGAAAAGATGCTACCACAGACTTGAGGGTTTAGGGTTTAGGTAATTGGAGAAGTATGTCGTCGATTTCTGTACCACGAGTATATCAAGGAACCCTCAAGAAAGGTATTACCGAGGTGGTTGGAAGTTCATGCCAGGATCCTCGAAGAAACCTCCTGCAGTGACTATTCAGGCGTCCCTTGTTTTTGGATTCGAGCCGTTGCGGAAAATCATACTGTATGCAGGCTAACAGAACAGGAGTGACAGGAGGAGGAGGAGGAGCAAAAGCACCGGCACCGGCGCCAGTAGTGGTGGTACAAAACATGAGCAACAGTCCCTAGAAGCCATCATCAGCGTCATCATCATCATTTGTTAAATTTCGCTATAATTAATCATGGTCATGATCATCGTCACCATCATGATCAACATGGACATGGTGATGCTGATGCTGATGATGATCATCATCAGCGCCATTACTCTAAAGCTCTACACCCTTAAAGTCCCCAGACCCTCAATGTAAAACTCTTGAACCTCTGTGCCCCTAAGCAACATTCGCCCTCGACCCTATGCTCCTTATGAAGTCCGTAAAATTCCCGAACCTACACCGCCACAAGCCCCATGTAACCACGTAAGACCGGAAATAAGTCGTATCACAACCCTTCGAAACGCCCCTTGGATACAATCCTAAAGAATCTGCAATTGCGTGGCAGGCCAGCGCGGGGCTCCCACCCGACTTCTTCGACGCGCCACTGCCAGGCCCTGTACCTGTTGATTTTGTCTTGGTCTATTTCAGCCTTGGGTTTAGGGTTTCATAGGCTTCATTTTTTTTGTCCTCTCTTTTGCCGTGTCGTTTTGTCGTAATGCGCTTAAGATCTCGGGGTTTCACGAACCCTCGGCCCTAAAAAAATAAGCCTGGGAGTAGACCTGAAGAGTGGCGAGACATCTACTTTCGGTTCGATCCGAAATACCTGCGATTTGGAGCCAAGTACCTTCTCGCAGTTCTTTCTCCTAGATCCTAAACCCTAAACCCTAAACCCTAAACCCTAAACCCTAACCCTAAACCCCCACTCCAGGAGCCTGAGCCGTCACCACGATTCTTCCTCATTCTTCCTTGGGGCGTCCGAAGTGTTGATGAGGGGATAATGTACCCTGGAACCGCACTCTAGCTGTTGAGGCCTCTCCATTACCCAAACCTGAGAACTCTAAACCTTAAGCCCTCAACCCCAAACCCTAAACCCTAAATCCTAAGTCCTAAATCCCAAACCCTAAACCCCTAAACCCCTCAAGCCCTAAACCCGTAAACCCCTAAACATGGCCTGGCAGTTCCCGCACCCAGAAGGCGCCGAGTCCCCTGCAGCAGCCGCGTCCAGCACTCAGGCTTTAGATTCGGGGGTGTGTGGGTTTAGAAAGTCCGGCCTAAACCCTAAACTCCCAAACCC